GAAACTAAAATGTAGCAGTTTGAATAATTTCTAGAGATTATATGTTATAATGCATGGGGTCTTATTTTAGAAAAAATAAATAAATTTGATAAATATAATGGGAGAGCCTTTGAAATATAAGGAAATAAGGATGATAGATATTCTATTTTATTATCCATTTTATATATCACAAACACAAATTTCTCTTTCAAATTAATTTGAAGTTTTTTTTAATTATTTTCTTTGTCAATTAAGGAGAATTTTTAATAATTAGATAAAGACATTAAATATAGATTTAATTAGATAATTGGATAAACTTGATAGATTTTAAATTTTGTAAATCATTATTTTTTCTCTCTTTTTTGCCTTAATTATAATATATAGATGTAATAATTAAAAAAAGTAGATGATCTAAAAATTATATTAGATATTAAAAAGATTGGAAAACTAAACTTGTTATATATATAAATTATAATTTATTGACATAAACAAATTAAACAAAAATTAAGAGTCTCATTCTGAAAAGTGATTTACTATTTTGTTTAAACTCAGTTGGAATCAACACTAACATGGGACAATTTTAAATCAAATATTAAAAATGTTAATTTTGATCAAATTAGACCAAAAAGAAAGAGAGCTGACCTTTTAATTAATTCTACCTTTGCACACTCAACCACAATAAGAAAGGATAAGGTTTCGTTTGGGACTATATTTTTACTATTTTTTAAATAATTTTTTTAATGCTAAATTTTCTTTTTAAAAAAAATTTGTACTAAAAAGCCTTATAAAAGGATATGAAAGTTGTCCCAAATAAAACCTAATCTCTATGCTCTTGCTGCCCCAATTCATCATCATGAAGCATGTTAATAGGACAATTTTCTCTCAATCAACGACCCAAATGTATATAATATATGTTGGATGTTTTCTACTCCTACATAGCCACACTATTGTTTTCATTTATGCTTCATTTACCTCCTTTACCTTGATGTTGAGATCCATTAAGGTTGGGTAAGCATAACTATAAGAAGTCTCACTAGCAACTTCTGACGCAACTATCGCCACTTGGGCATCAATGTCTTGCTTCTCCACTCACTCATGTAGTTTTCATTGTGAGAATAAGGCTTCATTTGGGACGGTTTTCTTACAACTTCTTAAAACAGTTTTCTAGTACAAAAATTAAAAAGATGATTTAAGAAGCAGCAAGAAAGTCGCTTCGAATGAAGCATAAGGCTAACTTGGAGTACTTCATGATTTGCCAAAGTATGGGTTTGCATTATTGCATTTAAGGGTTTGTAGTGGAAATATTAATTAAAAGCGCATCATCATGCTAGAATTCATAAGTCTACAAGCAATGGATTGCATCCTTTTTCTTCTACAAAATTTGAGAGCATGTCTAAATAGATTAAATAAAAAACAAGTAAAAAATAAAGATAGGCAAAAGTCAAAGAAGAAATCCTCATGATATAAAACATAGGAAAAGCAAAGTTTAAGCCAAATATAATAACCTAAAAAATAGAAAATTACATTTTAATACAAATGGAAAATATCAAAAGTCTCAAAAAAAAAAAAAAAAAAACCAAAAAAAAAAAAAAAAAAAAAACTACAATAGAGATTGCTTCCATTGAAGAAGAGAGCCAAGATAATGGATTTGATGTTTGTTCTTGTAATGGCCCAAGACTAAATTTTGGAAGAATTACCTATTTTAATCTCTTAATTAATCAACCAAAGTTTCTATAAATTTATCAACATAAATCAATCCAATGAAAACAACTAAAAATCAAATATATCAAAATAAAAAAATATATTCATCTCTCAAAATTCATGTACAATAATCTTTTAGTTCAATCCATACATTTATCTCTTGACTACAAAAGAACAAAACTAAATAAAATATATAAATAAATTAAAACTTGAATCCCTAATTTGTCCTCACTCCACTAGATATTTATATCTTTCTAAAAATATATAAACCACAGAGTAAACTAACAGCTTAGTAGGTTACCAAAACCTACAACTAAAATCAATGTGAGGCAGTAGAAATAATTTGTATGTAATCATTCATTCAATATAAGTATGAACATATACATGTAAAAACATGTAACAATCAATAATTAATGAAACAGTAATTAAATAATATGATCAATAAACATCAATATGATTTTATATCTTAAGAGCAGTGATCATTAACCAGTAATTATACATAAGGGGTTAATAAACTCTATCATTTCTATACTCATTAGTTATAAGACAATATCTATCTATCTTAGTTCAGAAAATTTGTATGCATATCATATTCTTATACATCTCGTACAGTGTCAATGATATGATATATAATTTGTATGTATCATATATTCATGTATCATATAGCTCATGTAGTTTATAATCAATGATTCATATATATCATATGCTCTTATATAAGACTTATCGTATACAAATATCCATCACATAAATCATATCATGTCATGTTATTTATGCAATATATGGTATATATTCTTATCATATTTATATGCAAGAAATGAAATCAATGTAAGCAAGATATGACATCTAGCTGTCTATGGTATTTGCATGTACCAGTCTTGTAGGCCAACTCTACAAGAATAAATTTCAATAATATCAATCATGTTTCAAGAAATTAATCATATCACAAGTCATTTAGGTCATGCTGCAAGAAGAAAGCCGTCAAGCTGAAGTAAAATGGATAGGTAATTTACTAACAATGCAGGTAATAAAATAAAAATCAGATATCAGCGATAAAAACCTCTTGCAAAATAAAAATAACGAAATAAATAAATAACTAGAGTTTAACTGAATTCAGGAAAGCCTTTTTGTCCGTTAACACATCATGTCATATAAATCTTTCTTCTTATGCTTTCATTTTTATATCATTTAGGATTACATTATAAACTTTATTTTAAAGGAACATCCATTTGTCTATCCTCCTATATAATATAATATATCTCCAGCCAATCTGAATGATTCATTTTTTTTTTTTGCCAGCTTTTCTTACAAACACACATTTCACAGTATGTATAACATAGTAAACAAATGATATTATGCTCAATGTTTAGCTCACTGTATCATTTTAGTGCATGTAAAATTTGCATATGAACCAGAACTAATGAAATTCATTCAAAAATGTAATGCGCTCTTTTTCACCATATATGTTACCCACAACAATTGGATTTTAACAAGTACACATTTCATATTATGGTATTATGAAATTTTGACAATTATTTAACTAATTTATATTTACCTAAATTTCTAAAATTAGGGTATTTCCCCTAAAATACAAAAATACCAGATAAAAATTTAATATATTTCTATCAATATATGCAGAATGGTTAAAACTATAACATACTAAAAGTTATATTGTAAAAGTTTGCTTAAAATTAAGATATCGTAATTTTTGTAAATTATGATCAAACTACATTTAAAAAAAAATACAAAATAAGCAAAATCATTGAAATCATAGATAGTGTAATGGTACCTGCCTCGACACGCGCAAATTTTTCAACTGAACCGTCTAATAAAAATGACTTTAAGACCTTCAAACCTTAGCTTCTCTCCTCTCCTTCCCTCTCTCTTTTCTTCTCATTTTCTCTCTTCTGCTCTCTGTTAAAACAAATTAAGGAAAATATCTTATGTCAATTTTGTTAAGTTATTAAGTGGGTAAATAATTTTTTAATAAAATTTCTTAAGGACGTATTGATAATTTTATCAATTGTTTGGATTTTAGCAAAAAAATTTATAAATATTTGTATAGCTTCAAATCCGTTGATCCAAAAATTATAAAATAAATATTCATAAAATAGCTCAGTATGTCTAGAAGATTTTGTTGAAATTGTTTTGCAAAAGACGCCCAATGATCTCAGAAAATTTAATTGTACCAACATTTGTCAATTACTTAAAGAGTAACACATAAATAATAAAGTTCTTATTTTTATATCTACATTGCCCCTAAATTAAAAGAAAATTATAATTAAATCACAACAATATCTATATTTCGATGGAAACGATTTACAAATTAAACTTATAATGACTCTTGAATTATTATTTAATTGTTAAATATGATCAATTATGGTATCTAATAATATAAAATAAAGTGTTAGTGTTGGAGGCTTTGATCCTATGGAAATATAGGGTTTCACCCTTTTTATGTTATTGGCTCATTACTTGTAGAATTGGCAATCTTTCAATCTATGATTGCCATCTTCCTACACTAACCACAACCACAATTATGTATATAGTGATTATTTAATTTAATTATATTTATTTAAAGAAAAATAAAACATATTAATTTTCATATAATATGTAAAAAAAAGTACTATGATTTTCATGAAGAGGACAAACTACCACAATAGTTCTACAATATTTTTTTCAAAAATAAAAAAACTAATAATTTCTAATAAACACTAAATATAAACATAAAATAAAATAAAAAACCACTCAAAATTTACATAAAAATGACTTTAAGACCTTCAAACCCTAGCTTCTCTCCTCACCTCTCCTTTCTTTTCTTCTCATTTTCTCTCTTGTGCTCTCTGTTAAAACAAATGGAGGAAATAAAATGTCTTATGTAAAATTTGTTAAGTTATTAAGTGGATAAAGAATTTTTTAATAAAATATCTTAAGCATGTAATAGTAATTATGTCAATTGTTTAGATTTTAGCAAAAAATTCTTATAAATGTTTGTATAGCTTCATATCCGTTGATTCAAATATTATAAAAAATATTTATTAAATAGCTCAGCATGTCTGGAAGAATCTGATGAAATTATCTTACAAAACAGATACCTAACTATCTCAAAAAATTCATTTGTACCGTCATGTATCAATTTCTTAAAAAGTTACAAATAAATAAGAAACTTCTTATTTCTATGTCTACACTACCCCTAAATTAAAAGAAAATTATAATTAAATCACAATAATATCTATATTATTATGAAAATGATTTGCAATTTGAACTAATAATGACTCTTGAATTATTATTTAATTGTTAAATATGGTCTATTATAATTCTAAAGTGTAGTAGCCTTATTAATAAGTCTTTTTGTTCCCAAGATGCAAACAAAAGTAAGTTATTCTCCCATGGTAGCAAAATATATCATGAGAAGAAAACTTTGATTAGCATAATCCCCAAAGTAGATTATCCACATACATCTAAGAGAGAAATTTTGGGGAGATTTTCAATTTATGACTTTACCTTCAATATGGTATTTAATAATATAAAATAAAGTGTTAGTGTTAGAGGCTTTGATCCTATGGAAATTTAGGGTTTCACCCTTTTTATGTTATTGGCTCATTACTTGTAGAATTGACAATCTTTTAATCTATGATTGCCATCTTCCAATTATGTATTTATTGATTATTTGATTTTTTATATTTATTTAAAGAAAAATAAAACATATTAATGTTCACATAATAGGTAAAAAGAGTACTATGATTTTCATGAAGAGGACAAACTACCACAATAGTTCTACAATATTTTTTTCAAAAATAAAAAAACTAATAATTTCTAATAAACACTAAATATAAACATAAAATAAAATAAAAAACCACTCAAAATTTACCTTTATTATTTATTATTCATTAAAATAATGAGTTCATTTGTTTCACATAGGAGTTTAGTTGTGTAAGTGAGTCAAGCCTATTGAATCATGAGTTGAAGCATATACTCAAGCTCGTATATTAAATTAGGGGTGTCAATTCGGGTCAACGGATCAAATTGGGGTTGAACCCGACTTGACCCGGATGTAAATAGGTTGACACTACTCCGATCCGATTTTGTAAACTGGTCAGGTTTGTCAACCCGGACACGACATGTACGGGTTACCGGGTTGACCTGACACGACGCACGAGCCCGATAACGAGATCTAAAGCTCAAGCACGATTTGAGCGAGGGTGAGTGTTGCGAACCTACACGAGCTTGAGGAGTGTCTGCGATGCTTTGAGCCAGGCTACGCGGTCCGGCTCCACGGTTCGACGCGAGACCAGCGACTGGCTCGACTGGGCAGCACGGATGCCACCACGCGAAGCGACAAGGGCTAGGGCGAAACTGCGGCTGCGAACCTGCAACTACAATACATGGGGCGACAACAACCGATGCAGCTTCGTGGTTTGACGTGAGGGGTGCTGGGCTAGGCCCGCTATGGCGAAACTGTGACACAGATGCGACAACACGAAGGTCGCGAGGCCGATTGGCACTTAGCAGCCATGTCAATTTTGTGTTTGCCCGGTCCCGACCCGTTTTTTAAACGGGTCAAAAATTAAAACCAAAACCCAACCTATTTGTTAAATGGGTCAACCCTAATGGTCAACCCTAATCCGGATTTTTCGGGTGGTGTTCGGGTTGGGTTGTCAGGTCATCTCAATAATTGACACCCCTATATTAAATAAGCTCGAGTTCAATCTCACCTAGCTCGTAAGCTCGTTAAGTTGCTCAATTTTTTTAAAAAAATATTTTAAATTATTTAAAATAGTATTGTATAATATATATTAACTTTATAAATTAATTCTATATTAAAATAAAAAATTTAAAATTTTAATCTAAAATTAAGAAATCTTTATGAGCTTGATTGCACGAGCAGAGGTTATAAATTTTTAAGGAAACAAACTCAAGCTTAATAAAAATTAAACATGATTAACTGTATTAGTGTGATACTCAATTTAGACTCTTTTAAACCCTAGCTTCACATGATGATCTTCGTTAATCGCAGATCTTCTTAGCTTTTAGATGTTATTTTCTTGTGGTTCAAATTAAAGGATTTTCTTCGGCCAGTTCTTGATCGTTCATTGATCTCAATTTTGATCATTTTCTATTATCTTTCTCTTTGTCTCGTTCGAGATGGCGAGCGGCCGGTGGTTTTCTCTCTTTCTTTTGCTCGGATTCTTCGTCGGAGGCCTCCATGCTAGCGCCGGGGATGCCGACCCGACTTATCGGTACGTTAACCTGTCACTTCGTCTAATCTGGTAAAAAAAGTACTTCGGCGATATTTTGGTCATTTAGGGTTGCGTTCCGTTTATAACTGGGAAACTTAATTCATATGAGCTGATCTGTTCCACTCGACTATGGGATTTCTAGGCGGACTCTGTCGGATTTAGGGTGGATTGAAAGAGTTGATGAGAAAGAGTATGCTTTTGTTGTCAATAGGAGAGAAAAAAAGGGAATTGAAATTATCCACTAATGATAAAATTTCAGGAATAACTTTTAAAATCGAATACGGAGTGTAGTGCCCAATTTTGAAATCAATCGTGTAAAAGGATGTTGGTATTTTTGCCAAAGATGCCAATCTTTGTTAACTACGGAGGAATTCTTGTTTTTTATACTTTTCTACTATGGGCAAAAGGCCGCCATTATCTTATTACTTAATTAATGGTTGTTGAGTGGGTGATCATTTCATCTAAGAGTTCAGATTAGTGGGCATCACTTTCCAGTGATGACATTTGCCGAATCAAATGATTTTAGGGTGGCTTTACTTTGGAGTTTACTGTAGCGGCTTTTTTGCTTTGAATGAGGTGTCCATGCGAAGTAGAGTAATTGTTAATCGGAAACCCCCATTTCAAAACTCAAAAGGAATTGCACATGTCAAAGGAAACAATCTGGATTCTATCTTTTTCTTACATGGAAATTATATTTTTTGAAGGTGTGCCTTGACATAACTTTGAGTGAGCTAATAATTATTTAGAGATTTGAAAGTTAATCTCCATTCTCCAGCAACCATTACAATTGTTGTATAGACTACTTGTACCTTTTGTAAGAAACCTGCAGATGCTTCTTCCTTTCTTTTTGAAGAATATAAACTATGGCATATACATATGATGTTGTTGACCAGTCCTATGTAGACCAGTAGTACATGTTACAATGTCAATTAAATTATAGTCACGAACAAATCCTGTAAGTTCTCCAATGGCTAAAATCCGTTGAGTAATAAGTTATATGATACATTTGATAGAGCATAAAATTCTATATTAGTTAAGGTAAACTTAATTTTTTTCATTCAGACGAAAATCCATCCTAGATCTATATGAGTCTCTTAGATGAAGCAACCCATAGCTATCGACAAAGATCCTTCGATTAGGTTAGGTCAACTATCTCCTCTGGCTAGGTAGAATAAGGACTATAAAAACCTGGGATGAAAAAATTGTGGGATCTTGATCGGATTAATCATCATTCTTCTCGCCATCTACTTTAAATATCAAGTGATAATTTCAAATCAATAAATTAATTTGATACTATTATATTCTAAGCACTTAGCTTGTAATAATTAGCCTTGATCAAAAGTTCTCTCTCGTCATTTGAAGGAATAATCAATTATAGCAGTTTACGTTTACTGGAATTATGAAATCATATCATAAAGTCATGACAAAATAAGGGTGAAATATTTAGGTATTATCTTCAATCTAATCTACCTTTTGAAAATTTGACCTGAAAGGCTGAAATGCGCACCCAAAACTCTCTCACTATATATATATATATATATATAGAGAGAGAGAGAGAGAGAGAGAGAGAGAGCATGAGAGAAATGGATTTTTATCCTCATAGGAGGGGGATGGCCAATCTTCTTTCAAATTTTTTGTATGCATCCATTGCTTTTAAGAATTAGATGTAGATCAAATTTTGTCAGTTTTTATGATTTAATCATCAAATATATGAAAGATTTGAAGATAATCATACAACATATAAAATCTTTTTCAAAAGTCTAGCTTTTTCATATATTTGACCAATTAAAGTCATCCAATAGATGTAAGAAAATGACCAAAATTGTGCACTCTACTATTTGCGAGGACTATTTTAATCCCAGATTATAATATAAAATATTTGATTTAGTCCCTAAACTTATTAAATAGGAGCCAAAATTAGTTCTGTCGTAAAAAAAAATAAATTTTTTGATGTTAAAGTTAACAAACTGTGTTAAAAATATGGATAATTCAGGAATATATATTTTCTTAAAATTTTATAAAATCTAATTTCCTTCTTACCTTGTTTCCTTATGTACGGTAGATGACTTTGCCATTAAAAATAATTTTTGTTGCATTTTCTTATGTTGATTTATTTTAACAAAATGCATTGACGTTTTTTTTTTCGGAATATTAAAATTTTAAAATTTTGAAATATATGATCTTAATACACTCAGGCTATACATAAAGTCAGTTGTTGTACACAAAGAAACAATGTAAATAGGAAATTATATTTTATAAAATTTCAAGAAGCTGTATATTCCTAAAATGCTTTTATTTTTAACACATTCTATTAACTTTAATTTTCATTTTGATTTTTACTTTAATTCTATTACTTCTAATGTGAGAACATTTTAGCTTGTAATTAAGGAGTTAAATGGCTAAATCGGATCTTTTATATATTTTGAGACTAAAATAACCCCCACCCCTCCCTCTTCTAATAGTCAGTGGACCTTTTTTATCTTTTTCTCATATGAGATTTTTTCAACAATCCATTGATTCCAAGCCATTTGAAATACTCATACATTTTTTAATTTCAATTTTTTTATCATATAATTTGAATCATCCATTGTGAAATTTTGGTATATTTGATTGTTGATCAAATGATCTTGAAAACTCATGAAATTGTCTATGCCGCTATTTTTAAAGATTTCAAAGAAAATAGATTATTATAATCTTACATTTGAAGATGATAATATATATTTTTAATAATAGAATGATGATTCTCCTAGGATTAGAAAAGTCTATCCCATATATATGTCATTGTCATTATGTGATTAAACATACATACATAATGATCATGTGGGCTTTGTGTGTCATGTTCTATATTTTTTTAAGTTTGATCCAACGCAATGTACCTGAGTATCATATCCGTTTTCTATATCTTCTTCCATGCTGCATGGCAATAGAATGATCACCATTTCACCTTGATTGTAAAATAGAATGATTGTTTTTTAAAGATTGATTCAGAATGGTAGTTAGATCTGATACAAATTATGTACCAAGCATCAATTACATATGAAGATGATGGTTTACTCTTTTTGAACCAAGTTTCATCTCAATTGACCGATATTTTAGAGTCAAATTGTTTTTGTTCTTTTTAGAGAGGGAAAGAAGTGCTGGATTCTTTGTTTGCATCCATTGTGGCATGCAAATCACGGGCTTGAATTATGAAGTAGCTTTTCTAACTGGCAATAATTAGTTTTGTACATCAATCCCGTCTCACCCTGCAAAAGTGATAGCATTCCCTGTGTATAAGCCCTTCCTTTTTTATTCTAATGAGTCATAAGTTCTAATGTACTTAAAACTATTGATATCATTTTTGATATTCTGGTTTTTAATGCCAAATGTTAGTTATTTCTTTAGAATTCCTTAATTTCTCAAAAAAAAAAAATATCATTTGAAGTTCGTGAACAAGCTCGACATTAAGCTCAATAAAAAGCTCGATAAAAGCTCGAATGGAGAGAAATGCAATAGGTAAGCTTCATTTAAGAATATATTCATATAGATTAATCATATTTTCATTTTAAATAGACAATTGCTTTTATTATAAATCTAATTTTCTGAACAAAAGACATTTTATATTTGTCCATGTTTGCTAGATTGTTTGTTTAAGATGTTCAGAACAAATTTAATGTTTATTTGTTCAATAGATTGTTTGTTAAATATGTTCATAAACATAGCTCGTTAAGGCTTGTTTGTTTAAAGCTCGATAAGCATTAAACGAATCGAACATGAACCAAATATGAACCAAACATGAACATCCTTGAATTAAACGAACCAAATATGAACACAAGCAATAAAGCTCGAATCAAACACGAACTAAACTTGAACAAACTAATGATAAACGAACTCAAACATGAACACTCACATACTCGGCTCGGCTCGGTTCGTTTGCAGCCCTACTCAAATGGCTGATTCTGCTATATTTTAAACTATAATTATGTGACTGCCATCTTTTGAGGTTTTGCATTGGATTGATGCGAATTATTTGTTATATTCTTTTTTTATTATTCGGCTTAGAGAAATGATCCCGTGTGCTGCGGAAAAAAAAAATATAAAAAATATGCAGTCTCCAAAGCAATATAAATATCTCAGTACAATTTAAAAAAATTGTCTCTTGAAGAATAAAGAATTTTTCACTTTTGTACTTCGTTTGCACATTCCCACCATTTTGGATGACCATTTAGGCGGTCGCAGTTAAATTATTACAGCTGTGAATCCTGCAACGTTGGAGGTTAGGCATTGGATGGTATTTTTAAGTATTAGCCAAGTTTTGCTGGTACAAAGTTTTTTGCAACTAAGCTCGTTATTTGCCTATAATAAATTGAATCAACGTTCAGTTTCCAAAGCAGCTACAATTGTTCAAATTAAGCAAATTTTCATGTTTAGAAAATAAGTAACAGCTCAAACTAGTCCCTTACCTGTTACTAAATGTCCAATTGAGTCTTAGAGTCTTATAATGACCCAATATAGTCCCCCAACTAATAGAAAATATTTCAATTTGATCCCAATACCAAAATTAATAGTTAAAGTTAACCCCGACAGTTAAATATGAGAGCATTTTAGGTATTATGATTTATGTGAGATTATATATATTTTTAATATATTTTTTTTCATTCGTTAAGTTAAAATAAATACATAAATCATAATGAAAGTTAACCACATTTATTAATTATTCATTATTGTTATTTAGTTGGTCTATTTCCATTGTGATTTTTGTATTTATTTTAATATGATATTTGACATTTGGTACAAATTGGAATATTTTCTAATAGTTTGGGGATTATATTGGGTCATTATGAAAGTCTGGAGTTAAATTAGACATTTACTAATAGCCAGGGTACTATTTTAGGATTTTACTTTTTAGAAATCATCACATTTCTTCTTTTGTGGTCAACATTTCATCATTGTAGTCATATTCAAATCCTACACTTTGTTCAATACATGATTCTGTCAGGTTTGTCCCAAGAGAAAATATGAGGAAGATGTGATGGCATGCAAACATAAACGTGCCTTACTTGATAGGTGGATTTTTAGCCAAAATACTCCCAGTACAGGAAGTATACGTTTGAAATGAATTATTAAAATAACCAAATGGGATAATGAAACATATGATAAAGATAAAAAAATGTTTGGCTAAATTTGATTTAACACCAAGTGCAGTGCTGAACAATAATGAAGATGGAAGAATAACACGCCCCAAAGCTTTTGAGGTAAGGCCTTATCAGGATAACTTGACATTCTGACTGGTAATAATTAACTTTGATGAAGATTTCCAACATACGTTAGTGTACACGTCCTGATTATGGCAGTTTTTATCAGTTTCGCATAATATTTTATGGTTTTCGAAACTGTTGATCAAGGTCTAATGGCACTTTTTTGGCAAAATTTGTGCAGACAAGAAAAACTGGCTCTTGATGGAAAGCTTTTTTTTGGGGGGGGGGGGGGGTGCAAAAGAAAATTTCATTAGATAAAAAGAGCATTACAATACAAGCCCAAAAGTTGGCCACATAGAACAAGATTACAACCAGAGGAAAAAACAATAAGCGCCAGGGCCAAAACAACCTGAACAAAACAAAGAAAATTATATCCTCATGAGCAACTGGACTCAGACTACCACCAAGTTAGGCTTGGGCCATCCAAAGAGGTAATGAAGTTAACAACAGAGGTTCCAAATACATCAGATCCTAAAATTCAAAGTCCAACAAATCTGAAAGAGAAACAACCACCAAGGTTGCAAACCAAATCATGGCCGTCCGAGGTGCTGCAGGTAGTACCAAACCAATTCCACCGCAGCAACATAACAGGGAACTAACCAAAACACTTGAGCCTGAGCTCACCAAACCGAGCAAAATCGAGTTGGCAGTACCACCAAAACAGCCCATCCATAAAAAGAGCACCACTCGGAGTAATCCAAAGAAAGAAGCCAGCCCTGTCAACAAAGTCAAAAGGAGAAAGAACAACCAGGGTGAAAGCATATAAACTTTAAGGTTAAAATGGATTAGGGTGTTAAAAGTCTAACTGACATTCTAGAAATTACGTAGTCTAATGGGATATAAATTCAATGTGTAGCCTTTTTAGAACTAAAAGTAGAGTAGCCCTATGATTAAATTGAATAGGCAAAATACCAAACCAATCCTACCTGTAACTGCATCCCACAGGCATGTCACCTGGCGTGATGGGATGGTAGAGCACATTAGCAGTGGCCTTACTTTTTAGAAGTAATATCTAATTGCTAATGAGTTCAGTGGTCAGCTTACACATTGAAACTTACCATGCTCTTTAAGATTAGCACAACTAGTAAAATTTCAGGATATCAGTTCTGTCAATAAAAGTCCTCCGAAGTATAATACCACTTGAAGCATGAAGGTGTTAGTTCCAGCCGATTAATGTTGAATTTCTTATATGAGATTAGGCTGCACATATCTTAATCACAACCCTTCGTACATGCTCACTTCCGAAGTTTTCTATCTCAAACACTGGAATGCTGGAGCATGATGGAAAACTATATATGTTTAGAATTTTTATGATGGTCTATCAAGTTTCTTCCTAATTTTGCATGTTGCATTATTTTTCTATGTTTTTGTTTCTAGAAATGGTCTTGAGTTACATAAGAACTCTTTAGATGATTTCTTTTAGCAATTTATTATATTTCCCCTTAAGGTAATCAAATTTGTTTTAGCTTTTAAGAAATATTGTGCTTCATGTTTGTGATACTGTTCTGGATCTTATTTTACAAATCAAAATCCTTATATTGATATGCTTTTTTTGTAACTTCAGAACTTGTGTTGAACAATGCGAGAAGACAGGAAGTGTAGGAGACATTTCTATCACACACTGTTTGTTTTCAACTAGTGATTGGGCTGCTAATAATAATACATGGTACATGCAAGAACCACTTTACTTGCAATGGAAGCAATTAAACTGCAGAAGTGACTGTTGCTATCACTGTATGATGCAAAGAGAAAATGAAAGAGAGGCACTTGGTCTCAGTCCAGTCAAGTACCATGGAAAATGGCCCTTCAAGCGCATCTATGTCTTTCAGGTCTGTCATGTCATCATTTACTAGTAAATTTTGTAATGTAATCTAATGATGTAAGAGTTATTATTGATTTCTTTTCTGCATCTTCATGTTGATCATGGTGTATAGTCTTTTTTTTTTTCAGTTGGATTTCTCTACCCCAGTGTGCATATCTAAATTAAAAATTTTGCTCCTTCAACAATTTTTTTTTTTCCATTCAGGAACCTGCTTTAGCTGCCTTATCTGCGGTCGGTCTGATTATACATTTCGTTGGATGGCTCTCATTTTTTATCTTAGTAAATTACAAGCTTCCTTTTAGGCCTAACAGTAAAAGAACTTACTATGAATACACTGGTTTGTGGCATATCTATGGTTTCTTATCAATGAATGCCTGGTTTTGGAGTACCATATTCCATACAAGGTAAGCAATTACTCTTAATCACAACGCTGAATATTGTCTATTCCCCTTTCCATAATGACAATTAATACGTTTTTCAGGGACTTCGAATTGACAGAAAAGTTGGACTACTCATCAGCAGTGGCTTTACTTGGGTATTCGTTGATGCTATCCTTGCTGCGGACCTTTGATGTTAAGGACGAGGCAACTAGAGTTATGTTCGCAACCCCTATTTTGGGCTTTGTGACAACACACATCTTGTATCTTAACTTCTATGAACTTGACTACGGTAAGGATCTTTCTAGTATAATCAAATTGCATTCATAACTTAAACCATCTTTCAAATTTTCTTTGAGGTCCCAGTTAGTTGCTTGAAGTTAGAAAGCACATTTTTGGAAAATGATAGCTTTAGTAGATTCCATTATTAGGGACTGTTTGGCAACAAGTGGGATTTAGTAAATCCTGTAAATCCGAATTTAATAAATCCAAAATGTGTTAAATCCTCAAAACTTTTTGGTATGCCAAATGTTAAATCCTGAGAAATTGTTTGGTAACATATTTCAAGATTTATGACAGTTAGAGATTTAAATATGAAGAATATAATTATAAATTAAAAAATAAATTTATAATTAAAAATAAAAATTAATGCGTTATGAATTTAATAGCATGTTAAGTATAAATTACTAATTAATTATTATTTATCCGCCGAACCGAGGGATTTAGTAAATCCGGGATTTAAGCCGTAAATCCATAAATCCAGGATTTACGGAATCCTGGGATTTAACGCGCGCAAAAAGAACCGTTTGGCTGGATTTAGCGTAAATCCGACTTAAATCCCACGATAAATCCGATACCAAACAGCCCCTTAGTTCGAAGTGAAAATGTATACTGGCTGTAAAATCCACAAACATCTCACTATCTATCTCTCAACTAAGATGGTTTCATAATCACAATGAAAAAGGTGTGAGAATCAAATCATCATATTATTTAAATCATCACATACTAATAGTCTGAGGCTACTTTGAAATTGAATCTTTTTTTCATCCAATTATTTCTCATATGATCTTTGCAGGGTGGAATATGAAAGTTTGTGTTGTTATGGGAATCATTCAACTGCTAGTGTGGGCAATCTGGGTTGGAATGAAGCATCATCCTCACCGATTCAAGTTGTGGACCGTCGTGTTCGGAGGCGCACTTTCCATGCTCCTCAAAATCAATGACTTCCCTCCTTACAACGGCTACGTCGATGCTCATGCGCTGTGGCATGCAACTATCATTCCTCTCACCCACCTATGGTGGAGCTTCATCAATTCAGATGCAGAGTACAGGACTGCAATGCTTGTCAAGAAGTCAGATTGAGCAAGAAAATTGGTTAGTAAATGTTATCATCCACTGTATTACTAACACAGTATCTGATTGATTAGTGTTATTTTACATACTCTGTAACCTGGTCTGTGCTCTTTGTTTCCTTTTTTTGTGAAGATGGAAACTGGTTTTGCAGTCCAAGTAGTTATGGAATTCTTTTTGGATAATACTGTACTTATATTTTGCCACTTCTTCGGTTCATTATCAAGAATAAATGTATATTTTTTTGGTCTCAGGCTAGTTGTTTGCTCTTTTTTTGTTTCTTTTTCTTTTTCACTCGGGTTCTTTCTGTAAATGAAAAGGTTGATTGATAGAGTGATTGTAATTGAGCAATTGAAAATTTTAGGTCCCATAAATTGGAGAGATTATGGTGTTCGGATACCGGACACAGGTTACCGTTCGGTACTTCACAGTACCAAGTAATACTGAACTCGGTACTGTGAAGTATTGAGTTTGGTACTTCACAGTACGGAGCAGTACTTGAGCTCATTACTGAGCAGTACCGTACTCAATATTGCTCGGTAATGTGGAGTACCAAGCTCATACAAAGCTCAGTACCGAGTAGGGGGGGTGATGTGGCGCATTTTCATTGGGCTCCGGACATCGTCAGTTGTCTAGACCCAATAATTTCCCCATAAATTGCCCCTATTTTCAGACTTCCAATTCCATTCTAGGTTTTGAAAATTTCGGGACTTGCGAATTACAATCCAAAGGAAATTTCAAGCTGTGATTGCTCCTTAGACGCCTACTGTAGAGTTATTGACTAGTTATTCCTCCTTAATTGTTGCTAAATATGTAGTAGTCGTAGATGTGCTTTTTGGCTAAAGTTTACTTATATTTTGTGCCAAATTCTTTTTTTTTTTCTCCTCAAAATTAGTAATAAAGTCTCCAATGAGACTCGAAAAAGTACGAACAGTCGAATTTAAGGTTTTGTTTGGGTAGTTTTTATATTGCTTTATGAAGTAGATTTTTAGTACAAAATAGTTTAGTTGAAAAAAAAAATTATTAAAACATTGTTTTTTAGAAGCATGAAAAAAGCTGCCCCAAACGAAGCTCAAGTGTCTCAAAAGCTCAAAAAATGAGAGATGTGTTCAGCTCTAAAATGGCCCCTATGCCCAATCATGAGTGTCTATTTTCTTATAATTTTTTTTTATTGTTTTATTAAAGATGATTTTAAAAAATTTTAATAAAAATCTCTAAACTTTTTTATAAAAACCTCAAAAAAATTCCGAAAAATTTTTCAACCTTCATCCATGCCTAAGAAATTATATATTCCCGTAGAATTTTAGAAAAGCTATAATTTTGTTTTATATGCATTTTTTTTAATAGGAGGTTAAAAAAACCATAACTTTTTTTTTTTTTTTAAAAAAAAATCATAACTATGAGCAAGAGTTTGAAATTTGATAGGCCTACTTAGATGCTCCATCTCTAAATCAAATTTCAGTCTATAATTTGAATCCCATACATTGAATGCACTAACAAAAGTTAAATATATGATTATGAAATTACAAATGAAGTAAAACAAAATAAAATTTTAAACTATAGATACATAAGTTGTAGACTATGTTATTAAGCAAATGCGATAATTCTAAATAATTTTATCAATATGAATTTAATATATCTCTTATTCTCAATAATTGTTATAAATTAACTTCAACAGGATTATAGAAGTGCAAACCCATACACATTCAAGGACAAGTACAAGTGAATATATATATATATATGAGGAGAATAAATATTTTTTTTATTAAGTGTTTTTTATGAACTTTGTACTCAAGATTACAATATTCTTTGTGATCTACAATATAAAAAAGGGAAATTTACATACATACTACTTTATAACATCCTATTAACATATCTAACACCGAAAACTTTAATATTACATACATACCACCTTATATTATTTTAATATCAAATATGTCACTCATATTTCCTTCCTGCCATTCCTATATTTCATTTCTACCACTCATATTTGATATAAAAATGAACTATTGGTGGTATGTATGTAATATTAAAATTATAGGTGTTAAATATATAAATAGAATAATATTGAGTGATATGTATGTAAATCTCCCTATAAAAAATGTATATTGATCCGGTTTCATAAACTTCAATACTTCTTTAACTGATATGTAAAAAAATAGGGAATCAAAAAACAATATATGGCATGTCATTTAAAATTCTAATTTTGCACGTGTATTTCATCAATCAAATTTATCAGCATATATAAGATATCATCAATAATCTATACATTTAATTACAAGTTATTTGAAAGACACTTGCTTGAAATGTAAAAAAAATATATTATTATAATTGATAATTCCAAGCAACTTATGTTATTTAAGTAAGGCTTTGTTTTAAACACCTTTTGACCGTTATTTTTTTATATTTAAAAAAATTTTACTGAAAAAATAAAAAGTTATAAAAAGCACTAAAGAAGATGTCCTTAAAAAAAAGCCTAAGTATTTAATCAAGCATACTAATTTTTTTTTTTACCCACCAATGTTTAGCCCCAAAACGCCAGCTGCTGGTACAGTGACATGGGTGACCCGATAGGTCGGCCAGATTTACAGACCGCCAAGCGCGCTCAGCGAAGCCAGATGTGACAGCGGATGGTACCTTCACATTTAAAAAAAAAAGGAATACTAAATTTTGAACACAAGAACTTGGCAACACAAACTTATGACAGAATCAGGAAAAATCAAAAACTCATTTTTCTCAATTATAAAACAGCATCTTGTTTCTTTTTTACACTGGCAAGTGGTAGTGGAAGATTCAGCTCATGATCTCTTTTTTTCTTTTTTCCTTTTTTTTTTCCTTGGTTAGAATCACTGGAATCACACTTTGCATCTAGATGAGCACTAAAGAATGGTAAGTAGAAGAGTTGGTGATGTACAGGTTTAATAGAAGGCCTATCAGCCTCTTTGTCTGCTAGAATTCATGACAATGGGCTGAGCGGTCTCCAGATTACTGTAATCAGTCTCATCATCTTCATCATCAGATGAGAGCAGGGAAGAGCCCATCCATGTCCTAAAACCTTCGTTGACTCGCCTCTGGACTTCGGGGGTAACTTCTATCGATGATTCCAGCATTTCCAGACCGAGATTCCGACCGCCATAGTTGCCGCCCTCATCGAGGACGGTGGCAGCTTTTCTCTTAAGAAAGAAAGCAGTGCCACCATACAATGTTACCAGTCCCCAGGCAGTAATCTCATAGCACCAGAAGAGTGGGATGGAGCAGCTACTTCCCAGAGTGAGAAGACTTGAGCCAAGAAATAGGGAAAGAAGACCGAATATTACAGCAAAGACAACATTGAGAATAAATAAGCAGCGGATACCACCTGCACCATAAGAGGAGGATGATCTAAGACACAAGGATCAATATAATGAGTGATTATTGCATCTGGACACCGAACGTGTCCAGAGACCAATAAAAAAGCGCCACATCATTGGGCACTCGGTACTGCGCTCGGTACCGATAGCGGTTAATGCTCGGTATGCTGTCCGGACAAAATAAATTTTAAGAATATGCTGTTAAAAGAGACATTCAAAATAAAACTAAGAAAAACATAATGCGGAACAATGTGAGTTAAACCCTGCCGTCCCTTTACATTTTGATCCATAGCTAGGATGAGAATCCGTGGGAGGCTCACCTATTAAATCCTAGCCATCCCTTGGCTTTTTGATCCCACGGCTGTGGGAGGCTCACCTGGATCATGTTGATCTCCTTCCAAATTTAGGTGGCTGATTTAGTAAGGATTATATTAGAGAACTTATGCATGATTCTGTAATTATTTGTTTCTTTATTAAGATATCTTGTATAGATCAATAAATAGGGGCAAATTTGTGCAATAAAATTAAGCATTTTCCCACTCCAATTTTTTGACTTTAACAATGTTGAAACTAAATAAAGAATGTTGAGGAGGTATAAATGGGTTTTCGAAAGCTACACAAGGCTGATTTACTTTTTCCATGAATATTTAAAAAAAATATAAAAACTGATATACTTTTTTCCACGAATATTTAAAAAAATCAAAAGTGTCAATTAATTAAAAATAATTACAAAAAATTTAATTTAATAGCACTGAATAATTTAGTAACAAAACAGAGATAAAACATACAAATAGATAGCAAACTAACTTTTGAAGTACATAAAATGATAAAAGCCAAATATTCTTAAAAGTAATAGATATGCAATTTTTTAGCAAAAGGGCATGAATTGAATAAAATGAAAAAAAAAACACCAATTTAAATGTTATTCTGCAAAGCTCAAAAAATGCTTTAAAAACACCATAGAAGCAAACAGGCAACGTATAGTTTCAGGTAAACCTGAGATATAGATATCATTCCATCATTCATAGTTTTTAGCGTTGAAAATAGTTCAATAATTATGAATTTAATAAAAATCAATCAATAAAGAACCTGGCATGACCTTAGTTTAAAGATCAATCCGTAACAAATTTATGTTAAGTTGTGTAGGCCATGTTGTGTTGACACCATAAGTTTGGATGTTAACAAATTTTATGTCAAGTAATCTAATAATTTGCTAAGGGACTGTTGGATTGTTGAATTTTGGCTATAAAGTTTATTAAATGCATGAATTTTAAAAATCAATGGTTGGTTTGGATAAAAAAAGAATGAAATGTAAAATTTTGAAGTATTTAGAATTCAACATTTAGTTCATTTTCAATGCATTTAAAATTCCGCTGATTTTCGTAGAACTCCAAATACATCGAAAAAGTGAAGCTTCGCTAATGCTATCGTCACCCCTCGCCCCTGTCAACCACTACACGCCATAGCTGACATCCATCACCCACCTCTAGCCACCAACTGCTGCTCGCCGATGGCGGCACCAACTACCACTACCCGCCACCGCCATCGCTGCCATAAGCAGCTACCGTTAACCACCACCGCCAAGTTTTACACTTATTTTACATCCAGCAAACACAAAAAGATGATATGCATGTGTTTTACTCTCAAACAAATACTTATAAATATTTCAAATACACACTATATTCCTTTGACTCTACTTCCCTTTTTCAACAACCAAATAGTCCTCAAGCATTTGTCTCAAGCAATTCTATTAGTAGAAACTATAGCGATGTTGACCTATTCCATTGGTGCACTTATAACTTGAAGATGAGCACAAGGGCATGAAATCAACAAGCTCAATGCAATGTGTTAATTCGAGATTTAGGTTCTCAAATGTAAACTGACTGGATAAGATTTATCAATTATTAAGAGAAGATTAAAAAAAGTTAAAATAAATTATGCTTTGTTATATTTAGTCTAAATTTATTGAGAGGTTTGATGAAGAAGTATAGAGAGAATAAGGAGGGTCTACATATGATTTTTATTGATTTAGAGAAAGCATATGATAAAGTTCCAAGAGAAGTGCTATGGAGAGTTCTACATAAGAAAGGGTTTAATAATGCTTATATTCAAATCATTAAGGATATGTATGCAGGAGCTGTTACTTGTGTTCAAACGCAAGGTGGTTTGACCAAGTATTTTCCTCTTTCAGTTGGATTAAATCAAGGATCAGCCTTAAGCCCATATCTTTTTGCTTTAGTCATGGATGTTCTCACTAGACAATTGCAAGAGGTTGTACCCTGGTGTATGCTTTTTGCTAATGATATTTTTCTTATTGATAAGACTAGAGATGGAGTTGAAGGTAAACTTGATTTATGGAGGTCAACCTTAGAGTCTAAAGGCTTTTGTTTGAGTAGATCTAAAACTGAATATATGGAGTGTAATTTTAGTAATAATAGATCTAGTGGGGGATTGTGACTTTGGGCGATCTAGTGGAGGGATAGAGATAGGATATGAAATGAGAATATATGTGAAAATGTTGGAGTAGCTCCAATGAAAGATAGGATTAGAGAGAGTCGCCTTAGATGGTTTGGTCACATAAAACGGTGGCCTTCCGATGACCCAATTAGGAAAGTAGATGCATTTGATTTGACTTATGTTAAGAAAGGTAGAGGTAGACCTAAAAAGACTTGGTTAGAAAATATTAAAAATGTCTTTCTTTATCAGATTTAGATGAAAATTTGACTCTTAACATAACACTACGGAAAAAAAAGATTCATGTAGCCGAACCCACTTAGTGGGATAAAGACTTGTTGTTTGTTGTTGCATATTTAGTCAAAATATATTTTAGATATTAAAAAATTACTACTTTTTTTGTGATTTTCTTTGCTTGATTATCTAATTATTTGACTGCTTTTTAATTTATTAATAATGTGAAAAATACTTCATTAATTATATCAACCGTGATTGTATGCATAAATTATTCATATTCATGATCTTGATTTAGTATTTGAAAAAAATTTAATAATCCAAAATTTCCTAGCAATTTCATTAGATTATATATTTATGCTTAATTAGGTTAATTAGGAGTTAATTAAGTAACTATATTGTTTTTAATGAATTTGGGGTAAAATTATATTCCCTTTTTAAGTAATCAAGTCATTTAAATGCAATCTAATATGTAACATAATATATTTATATTATAATTAATTAAGTTATTAACATAAAAGAAAATTTATTTACAATTTTTCCACTATCATACCCATATCTAGCCAGAGGCATATGAGGCCTAGCACAGCGGGGCATCCATCACAACAAATTTTGGTTATAGCGACTAATAGCCATTTGGTGCCTTTTAGAGAGATTTTTGGAAGGGACTTTTTTATGCTTTTGATTGTTGATTTCTAAACCATTTCAAAGATTATAAATACCAATTAAAAATAGTAGAAAAATAGCATGGAATAGTGAATCAAAGAGTTCTCAATGGTAATATAATTTCGAGAGGAAAAGTTAATAAAAAACACTTGGTGCTCATCCAACAAGCTTTTCTTGGGTCTCTCTATTTTGTGATATCTTTCTCTCTCAATCTCTAGAATATTTTACATTATATTTTATATAATCTAGCATAAGGATAGTATTATTCTTAATTTTTAGGTGATGTATTACTTCATACACCAACAACATATTGGAAAACTTAGAAAGGTTTATCAAGCATCCTTGTTTGGGCCAAGTCTTGAAAGTCTAAAACAAGCTTGGGTGTACAGCTAGCTTGAGGAGTGACGTAGAGAAGTTAAAAGGAATTCTAAACAAGTTATGGTGCTCTTGCAAAACCAAGAATCAATATAACAATTTCTCAACTAGCTTGAGGAGTGACGTAGATAAGTTAAGAGGAATTATAAACAAGGGGAACCTTATAAATGCATTTAGGCCAGTTTGGCATCAAGCCAAAATTCATGTCTAAATCACTCTATAATATAATTTTATATTTCTTTAATGTTTCTTAGGATTAGATTTAATTTAAATTTATAACCTTATCTTTACAAGTTACAACAATAATTCTATAACTAGGCATCCAAAGCTAGTATTCATGATCTTTAAACATTAATGACCATTTAATAAATTATTTCTACATCCAACTTGTGCATGCAAAATGTCCATGCAACCATCTCTATCACATCTGAGGATTAAAAAACTGAGCTTATATACCTCTTTTTGAAGCACAATAATTGTTTTCCACAACCTTGAGGCAAATGTGTCTAGTAGGGGCAGAATAAGCAACAGCCATTCCTGCAACATCATTTACATTAAACAAATGGTAAGAGAGTACAAACCAAGCACAGAGCCTTATCAAAAGAAATTTTTGCACAGCATTTAACTAATTATGATGGAGAAATTTTGACACATTAATGACCAAAAAAAACAGTCTATGGCCATATAAATATGAAACTCAACCATGAGACCACTCCAGCAGTAAATTAGAATCGGAGTGATTTCTGGCTAGTCTATATATCGTTTTTCGTTACTTCATTTTTCCCACCTTTTCACTTAAAAAATAGATAAATAATAAACCATAAGGTGGCAAAAGCTGGGAAGACCGTTTAAAACAAGTGAATTTTCAATCCAATCCAGCAACTGAGCATGTCCAACGCTTGAAAAAAAAAGGAGTATGGACAAGTGGGAGACCTAGGTTATCGAGATACATGCCTTTTATGAAAAGATGTGAAAACAAAAAAGCTCCAGCCATTGTCATAATAAACATTTTGCAACGTTTAAAAACAATACCCAAAACACCTTCTTCGGCAGTAAATTAACATTTAGCATGTAATACCCCAAAAAAAGACAACAGTTGCAACCAGGATCACAAGTAGACAAAGGTGATTGCTTATGAAATTTGAATTCATGAATTATGATAAGGACAACGTAGGTCGTACATAGGGCTTGTCTAATGCTCCCAAACCCTCTTAAATAATGAATTGCTAATAACTATGAGGTAATGAAAGATAGGGAGTAAATTGCCTAAATAACTTGTCCTCTCCAGCAGTTTCAGGGACCAGCAAACAAATCTAGCTATGTATATACTATGACAAATAGATATTTGAATTTGACAAGAATTAAAGAGAATTAGTATAAATAATCATTCCAATATTTCTATAATCCTAGAAGAACTTCTAATAGAAAACATATAAAATCAAAGAATAATAATTATAAATAATAACAATAGTCTAAATATTGATGAGTAGACATACAAAGAATTATAAAATAATTACAAAATTCAACATAGGGATGAGTAGACGGTAGAGATCCCATGAATTAATGAGGAATTAATGAGGAATAGTTAAGGAAAAAAAGCGGATGCTTGGCAAGTGTGAAACCCAATTGGCAAAAATCATGAAAACATTTCACACTCCCCCTCAAGCAAATGAATGGATATCATCCATTCCAAAGCTTGTTTAATAATTTTTTAAATATTTTCCCTAATAATCCATTGATGATATGCAAATTGTTCAACTGAGAATGCTAGAATATAAGTGCCTGGTGTAGATGTTCGGGTGCTCCTAGCAAGTTTGTTTGCCTTTATTTACCATATAAATAGCCCAATTTTCTTCTTCCATTTAAGAAATTGAGAACCAATCGCAACCACTTTGGATAGTTCTGTATATTTACTCAATATATTGAATGGATGTTTTGCAAATCTCCTATTGGATTTAGATTGCATCCTATGTGGATATTGATATTGTCCATGGAGATGGAGATTGCAATTCTATTCATAGTAAAAAATAGAAAATGAAAGAGATGAGGCAATGCAGTAATGCAGTGACGAAGGCTCAAACACTAAATAATGTTTGTAGCAATGCAATGATAAAGCTGCAATTAAACAAAAATAAGAGAAAAGAAGATAGTGAAGCAATGAAAGTCGCAGGATCGTAGTAATGTACTGATAAAAGCTGCAGTACTAGAAATACAAAGAAGAAAATACATAGGCTTTGATACCATGACAAGGATTAAAAATAATTTAATTCCAGCATTTGGTTAGTATTTATACAATTTTAGGAGAGCTTTTAATATAAAAAATATAAAATCATGGGATAAAAATGATAGAATAATAATAAAAGTCAAATGATTGATAAATAAGGAAAATAAGAATTGGATGTAGTGATGAGGACATCGACAGACGCTACCGACATGTTTATCGCCGGCGAAACCGCAGATTGACGGCCACGATTCAGCGCCTCTACTTTTGATTTCGATGTCATGATGTATTATTTAGTATTTGCAGTTTTTCCATTTTTACCCCTGTGGGGAGTTGCTTTGTTATTGTAACCCAGAGGAAAATTTCGTACTTTCTTTTTTTATGAGTTGAGGCCTATATATAGTGGTCTTATGTGTTGTATGATGGTTAATGAATATTTTGAATGAAATTTGTTTTGGTTATCTTTTACTTCTTCTTCTTCTTGTGGAGAGTTAGAGAGGAGAACGAGAGCCCAAGGTGTGGGCGAAAAGCAATACCCACCAGTCATTGGAAGAGTCCGTGACTCGTGGTCTATCCCCATCATCCGATCCTCGCCCCTTTTCCAACCCGCCAACCCTAACCCATCTTGACCGCCAATCACCCCACCTCCTCCACCGCCGGCCTTCTTCCCCACTCCCCACTTGTTTGAATTTTGAAAATACAAATTAATTGAGTTAAGAAAATTTCCAAATTTGTCAAGCCAAATATGGAAAGTTTTCAAATTCAAAACAATTCGAAATTCGAATCAAAGTGGATCTCTTAATCAAACCTCATCATGCACACAAGCAAATTTGGAAGGTTTGTAATTTGCTTCCACATCCTCCCCCCTCCCTCTTGATGCCGCCGGCCTTACTAGGCTTCCCCCCACCTTAATTGCTCCATTAATCCCTCATCAATTTGAAATTAAAATTTTAATTTCAAATAAAACTCCCTCCCAAATTTCAAATCCTGAAATTTATTTCAGGATTTGTTATTAAAACTCCTCCCTCTCCTCTCTTGAAACCGCCGGCCTCCCCCTATTAAGCTCCCCATTAATTCCCCATTTAAGGCTTTAATTACAATTGATTTCAAATTCAAATTTCAAGTTAATTCCCTCCTAAATTACTCAAAACTGAAATTAAATTTCAGATTTGACTAATCTCTCCCATAATTTCCTAAACCTATTTTCTCCAAACCCTAGCCCTCCCCCTTGCACCCGCCGGCTTCACCCTCTCCCCTTGAGAATCCCGCCGGCCCCTCCCCTTTTTTTCTCCTTCTCTCGTGCATTGAGAAGCCTAGAGACGAAGAGGACGACACTTCTCCTATTCTCTTCAATGTTGAATGGCGGATCCCGAGCTTGAATGGGGTCTTGTATTCAACGCCGACGGAAGCATCAACATCCTAAGACCTCCGTGCTTTGACGTGGGATTTGAAGACGAAACTACTGTTGAAGAATATTTGGAGCGAGTCGTCCCGATTCTTGCAAGCATCATCGACCGACGATTTTCAAGCAACGATTGGAGCCTCGTCGGCCACCCACTACGTCCATCTCCACCGGCTACCTCTCCACCAACAAAGTTCTCCGGTTCCATCTTGGTAGTGGTAATATCTTTCATTATTTGGCTCACATTTCTCCGCTAAAGCCTACAAGTAGTTGAGTGATAAGGCCTTGAGGTGAACCTCTCATTGTTAAGTGTGGGGTTATGTTATTTGTACTTTACATTTAATATTACCTTGGTTTTTGAAAGGATAGTCTTGTTTATTCTCTATTGTTAATCTTTGGCCTAAGCAAGTTAAATTTTTCAAATTCTTAACTCTCTCTTGCATGATTGAAATAAATTTATAAGGGCAAACATAAAACAATTTTCTTTCTCATTTCTAAATGTAACTCCTAGTAGTTTCACATCATGTAGGGATCCCGTGAAATAATGAGGTGACAATGAAAAATGAAGAAAAGAGAAAGGAAGTCTAGAGAGTGTGGGTTCTAGCTAGCAGAAGTTATGCAGATATTTCACAGAAAGTTATGCAGACAATTCACAGAAATCATGAGAATAAAACTTATTATTGAAAAGTGAATACCTCTTCTCATTAAAAAAATCAAAATGATAAAATTTCAGATATTAAAAAGAAAATAAAATAAATAACTATAACACAGAAATTAAAATGTCAAACTAAAGCTCTAAAAGGTACTAATGGTTTCTATAGAAATTTTATATTCCTTTCTTCTTTAAAATTTATTTCATAGTATTTCCATGAATAGAATCCATCCAAAAAGAAGCATGATATAAAATGTTGATGGAGATTGATTTACCATCCCTGATGGTACTCGAAAGCAAAATATTATTCCTTTCTCTCCAAATACTACAAAGAGCAGAAAAATATCAAAAATAGATTTAGCAATATCCTTAATATAATGACCTTCCTAAGAGAAAAAATGAATGGTTAAGATATAATCGAGCATTAGAAACCTCAAAGATAGAGAACTCGCACCCAAATGCTAGGGGAAGCTACATTGAAAAATAAATGTGTGTCATCCTCTAGAAGAGAGTTGTACATGACACGTGAAATAGAAATATTTAAGTCAAATGGAGAAATAGATATTTCACTTGGAATCTTTGCCAAAAAAATAGTTTATCCACTAGAATTTCAAAGGAACCAAGAACTATCATATCTACTGATAAAAGATTGTAAGAATGCATCCATGCATAAGGAAAGAACATAAATATTGATCGAGAAAAACCATTTGATGTGAAACAATCTCATGCGAAAGTGATTGGCTTAAAGAAATTTACACGTTTAGATTTAGAGGCAATAATAAGCAAGATCTTATGCGGAATTGAATTGCCTCTAAGCAAGATCTTATGCGGAATTGAACGATAAGTTAAATATTAAAGTGATAAAATATCTTAGGTCTAAATACATGCGAGAGGTTGAGATCATTAAATATTCAACTAAATCTTACTTTGCATACATGAGTGGTTTCAACGAGAAATTCCAATACTAACAATAAGATTAGTTGCTATAAGAAGATCCCTCACACAACTCTCCCTATTACTAGGTTCTAGCGGCGAGTAATTGACATGATCTTCATGAATCTATTAATAACCATAAACGAAAAGTAAACTAGGAAGATAAGAGCGTTAGGGAAAGAGCTTCACCCAAGGAATGGAGTAATACAACGTTCTGGTGGTATTTTTTTTTGTTGGTTGGATCGGAAGTAGGTGGTGCTTGACAGCATTCTTGGATGACTTGGACAGCCACAATCCACGATCAACTTCTTGGGCACAAGCCCCAACTC